GGGCACCATCAACTTTCTTCACCACATTTTCCCATGCACACATCTGTCTTCAGCGATCATGTCGGGAAGGTAGATATAAAATGACCGTTTAGTTGGGCAATACACAGGCATTTTCCCTTCAGGCTACAAATATCACCTTCTTACATTCCTGATTTGTTTTTCTCCTTCACTCAACTACTCTCTCCCATTACTTTAAAATTCTAATCTTTTTAACAACCTGAATTCTACTTTAATTGCTTATTGATAATTCTCTGCAATATCACCCACAAATACACAAAAGGGTTTTCTCAAGTCTCATACCATTTAGCAGCTCTGGTATAATAGTGGGTTTTATGAGTTTGACTGCTAACCACAAGTCAGCAATTTGAAACCACCAGCAGCTCTGTAGGAGCAAGATGAGGCTTCTATTCCCACAAAAATTAAGAAGTCTCAGATGCCCACAGGGACAGTGCTATCCTATCCAGTCACTAAGTTGGAAACAGCTCAATGGCATTGAGTGAGTGAGTGAATGTTTGCTCTGTTCTTAAAACAGTCCCTTCTCTGGACTTCCATGATACTATTCTCTCCTGAGCCTCCTACCTTTTTCACCTCTCCTTTTGCTCTAACAAAGACATACTAATCCTCCAAGTCCTAGCATTCCCCATGTGCTTTGTTTCTTTAGCCCCCAGTTTTCAAGTCTTCTACTCCTTCTGGAAACTACATTATTGCTCCTATAGCTTTAAGTTCCATCATTATGCTAGTAAATCTTCATCTGTATCTTCTCCCCCAACCTCTCCCAAGATTAGATTCACATCTTGTCCAAACTTGAAGGTATCATAAATTCTGCAATTCCCAAACTAAACTAATTATTTTCATCCCCCAAATCTGCACCTTTTACATTCCTTATGTCAGTTAATGATATTATCATTCTACTCATTATAATAATCCCAGAGACATAGTTGACTCTTCCCTCCAATACCTATTAGATATAAAATACCCCTGCCTATTCTACTTCCAAATTGCCTCCTGCATCTCTCTCTCATCTGTTCTTACTATTGCCTGAATTCACACCCTCATAGAGCTATGGCTAGATTACACAGTACTATTCTTACTCATCTTTTTCCATAAAACCATCTTCCTTACTGTTGTTAGAGTTGTTTTCAAAGTCACAGCTCTTTCACATCACTTATGTGCTTAAAAGGTCTCAATGGTTTTCCAATCTGTATAAAATAAATTCAGCTGCTTTATTGAGCCCTTCGGACACAGGTCTTAATTAATTTTCCTATACTACACTTCACATAGCCTATGTTTTATTCAGAGCAGACTATTATTCATCGTCCTTGAAAATGAAGATTTTCATGCCTCCGTGATTTCCCCCCATTCTTTCTTAAATGGGATGATGAGAGTATGTGATAGGAAGAGTTGAGAATGACCATCTAAGTAATCAAAATCCAAACAGATTCATGTACTACTGTTCTTATGATATGTCAATGAATTTCACATAGTTATTTAATAGTATAGAATTTTACATAATTATTTAAAGTACTAGTATACATTTTAAAATATTTTCCGAGTTTATTTTTGAAGGGCCAAATACAAGAGAGCAAATTAAATGATTTCAGATTATTTCTCTCAGTATTTTTATTATTAATTTTTAATCCATCTTAACCTCATCTCACTAGTCATTCTATAGTTCTTATTCACTTAAAACTAATGAAAACTTACCCTGAGAGATACACAATTAAAGAAGAGATCTGACCCAACAGTCAAGAAAACTCTGATAGAACCAAAGCTGTTGCTGTTTCTTCCACACACCTAAAATATTATGAAGGTAAAAACTCTAGGACAAAACCCATTTTATCCAAATTGCATATGAGTTCGCACCAGTGAAACTAAATGCTTATTTTTTAAAATCAATCTCTTTTTCACTATAGGGGACCTCACCTGAGAAAAATCAATGTTTCATTTTCTTAGCTCAACTGATTTTGAGGTAAACTTGGCATATTGAAGTTTATATTCTCTTTGATTTCATAGATTGTCTTATCCTGACAGATGCAGTTTAAGGAAATGATCATGTTTACAACATATCTTAAGTTTATAACAAGCATTTATGATAAAATTCTAATATTATAGAACCTAACTACTGTATACATGATATAAAATGGGTTTAATACATTTCAACAAAATTGCTAAGAAAAGCTAAATATATCCACTAACAATACCTATTAGGTGCTTTACTTTAGTCACTTATCAAAATACTAAGTAATAGTTTTATTAAAAAGTAAATTTTTTTCTCCTCATATATGAAAGATCATTCAATTTACACACATACACACAAACTTGTATACATATGGCCTTCCGTGCATAAAAATATAATGCAAAATTTTATTTAGTTCTTAAAAAGCATTCACTTCTGGGAAGTATGAATGTAAGGAGAAAATGTATCTGACTGTATTCCTGTATTATTTTTGCAACATTTTCTTAGACTTTAATAGTTATTTTAAATGCCTACAACTACCAAAAATATTTTATTAGTCTACTATTTAATAAACCTACATGCTTTTTCCAAGTTTCTCGTGCTTCCTCATGCTCATTTTGAAGATAAAGGAACTTTTCTTCATTTTCTCTCACCTTCTCCCTTTGCAGCTCATTATCTCTTTCAAGGGTCTGCAATAAAATTAATTATCCAAAAAATAATCAATACCACATTAATGAAGTTTGATGTGTTTTATGTTGCTTGGACTCTTGCTTTTAACATGCTGAAAATGCCATACAGATCAGTGATAATGTGTTATCTCAACAATAATTTTCATAAATTAACAGAAAGGTGCTTATAGTTTAGCTAACAGGAAATAGGGGGAGGTGATAAAAAAGAAATGGCTATAAAAGGGTATAAAAACATTGCCATTATTCAGTTTCACTGCATAAGTTTTAATGTACTGAAAAAGTAATATAAAGTACAGCACTGAAAAATATGAAATGTAGCATAATCTAGCCTTATCTTAATAAAAATTAGCAATCAGGATTTTTTTCTTATCTATGAATCCTAGAAATTAAATGGATTGAAAACTCTTAATACAATTAAAAATTTTCATTTTAAAATAATATTTTAGTAGAGTTTAAATATTTATGATGTTAACTTAATTACTTCATTAAATTAAAACAATAGAATTGTCTTCTCTCCCTAAAAGAGCCTTTAAAGATTTAAAATACTACTAAGTGCTTTCTAAAACAAGATGTTATAAAGCTATTAAGTCAGCATCACCAATATTTCTAGGTTTCATCAATGTCTTCTGAAAACCCAAGTAAACATCAGTTAAAGAAAAATAGTAAGAATTCTTACCCCCTGCCCACTATATTTGTGATTTTAAAGTTCATAAATGATGTACAAAATGATAAAACAAGAAAAAGTAAAGCTTTCTATTTATCCTTCCCAGAAATAAGCACTCTAGCAGTTTCTTTTACGACTTTTCAAAAGTAACTGTATTAAAGTATATAAAATATGAGATCATATTATATTGCACTGTTACAAATCTGTTTTTCAAAAAATAAAAACTATTGTTAGTTCCTTTCATATCATGACAAATAGCACTACCTCATTTTAAAGTCTGTATAATACTCCACTTATTAAAGAGCTTCTAATTATATATATAATCTTAGCAAGTAAATATATAATATGCAAATAACGTGCAACTAATCTAATAAAAAGTATTTCGAAGCTCACACATATATAGTTTTAACATAACATGAAGACGCTGTCCTCTAGCTCATTTATGAGCTATAGAAATTGGAAGCACCCAATGAGTACATATTTCTTATTGCTCTACTTCATGATGATTTTTTAAATTATCATTTTATTAGGGGCTCATACAACTTATCACAATCCATACATACATCAATTGTGTCAAGCACATTTGTACATGTTTCCATCCTCATTCTCAAAACACTTGCTTTCTACTTGAGCCCTTGATATCAGCTCCTCATATTTTTACCCTCCCTCCCCGCTTCCCACTGATAATTTATAAATTATTATTATTTTGTTATATCTTATACCATCTAACGTCTCCCCTCACCCACTTCTCCGCTGTCCATTCCCCAGGGAGGAGGTTATATGTAGACCTTGTAATCTGTTCCCCTTTTCTCTGTCACCTTCCCGATATCGCTACTCTCACCACTGGTCCTGAGGGGTTCATCTGTCCTGGATTCCCTGTATTTCCAGTTCCTATCTGTGCCAGTGTACATCCTCCGGTCCAGCCGGATATGTAAGGTAGAATTGGGATCATGATAGTAGGGGGGA